ACCCATCGCACGGGTCAAAAACACAGCATTACTGTTTTTTGGCAAGACACAAGCAATTCACAACACAAGTACTTCATATCAACTCTTTGTTTTCTTGTCATTTTAAATGTTACTCTTAGTCTCATTCTAACACAAAATAATAATGTACATACCGATGTATACATTAACACGCATTAAGTATTGTAGATTTAGGAAATTCATTGGTTTCCTATTTATGATAGTTATCCTTGGTTTCCTATTTATGATTTTTTACATGAAGGAGCATCTAAAAGAGATATTATAAGATTCCTTTGAATATAATTAAGGAAATCATTACAGAAAATTATACATGACGAAACTCACCTGAACCGTAATGGGACATTTTGAATTACCTGAAACTAAAAACGAAAAGATATTAACCGGAGCTAAAAAAGTTAAAGTCTCCAATTCTTTTATAGAAGTTATTACCCTTTAAATGATAAATCGATAACACCAAAAATCAAGCGATCAGAAACAACCCAACCTTAAATTCACTCAAACAACTCAAAGCTAGCTGACCCGAAACCTAAGAACATACTAATATAATAGTCAAAACCAAAAGGCAAGGGTAAGATGTGATAGAGTTTGACCATTAACACACATATCTCTTTTTGTCACATGACTAACTTACAAAATAATATATTTCTGCCATTAAGGATCCAATTGGGTTGTCCAAATTCTAAACTGGGTGTATGCCTTCATATTATAATCAATAACAAAAAAACTAATTCCATAAGTCACGTATCATGATAAGATCAGCATGCTTTGAGAATTTTCAATTATAACTATCTTGACATGAGTATGTGACTACCCAATTCCACCCTCATGGCAATATTTTAATTGCAACCATCATACTGTAAGCCAGTAAAAGAATAACTTCATGCTCCATAAGTTTACACAAATCACGGTTTAACTATTCATACTAAAGTACTCAATCATTCTCATTAGGACAATAACAGGGAAGAAAGTTTTATTAGCTAAATCAAAGCGAGAATTCGGGGATTAAGTTCTTGTATTGATGTTGTTAAGAGTAGAGTATGATGTGTTACCTTTTAGGGACGAAACTGATTTGGTGATGAAGAAGATAAGAACGGTTTCCTCACCAGACTGAAGCAGTGTTTGCTTCTAATAATTCTATTCATGTCCCTAAAAAAACTAAAAAAAGAACAATGTTATTCAATGTTTAGATCATAAACACCTTGTTAGAGATATACAACAGACTCATAAATGAAGCAATTAACATTTCAATTTGAAAAGGTGTAATGCAACTGTAAATAATTAGGAAATAATTCACTTATTGTAGTAAAAAAATTACCCGGTGCATTTGTTGAGCGATGCTGTGAAAAATCAGATGCTTTGCCTCCAGTAGGCTATACAGTGGTATACTATGAAAGAATTCACCTGTTATAGGCCAAATATTTTCCACATATTTCCTAGACTTCAATCATTCGAAGTGCACCACAAATCACCTAATGTCTACCCAAATAAACAAAAAATGAAGTCTTTGACATGTAAATCACCTAATGTCTACCCAAATAAACAAAAAAATGAAGTCTTTGACATGTAAATTAATCGTGTCTGATGTGTTACCTTTTAGGGACGAAACTGATTTGGTGATGGAGAGGATAGGAACGGTTTCCTCACCAAATTGAAGCAGTGTTTGCTTCTAATAATTCTATTCATGTCCCTAAAAAAACTTAAAAAAGAACAATGTTATTCAAAGTTTAGATCATAAACACCTTGTTTGAGATATACAACACTCATAAATGAAGCAATTACCATTTCAATTTGAAAAGGTGTAATGCAACTGCAAATAATTAGGAAATAATTACTTGTAATTAGAATAAAATTACTTATGGAAGAACTCCCTGATTTACATTCTCTAGCAGATCGGCTTCAAGGAAATCTTCTCTGCAACTCATCTGCTTTCAGAGTAATCGTTGATCTCTCCTTCTTCATGTTGGATTGCTTCATCGTACCCTTCCTCTGTGTCTTTCTCTCGATCTAGGCTTGCTTGAGTACTTGATATCGTTGGTGATTGCGCGTATGAGTGGGGTAGAAGGTGGCGGTTGTCGTAGAAGAGATAAGCCGTTGATCTAGGCTTGCACTCAGAATTTCGTCCAAAATGAAATTGGATCGGGAGAAGGTGGTCTAGGTAGAAGGTGGCGGTTATCCAAAGCACGGTTGCACTCTAAAATTGGATCGTCCGATCGTAAATGAAATTATGGACCGTCAGATGCAGAACGCAATTGAAGTCAATTTTGATTCTACTTTTATATACTCCGTATATAATAGACAAGTGAGTAATCAAACAAACAACTCAAATAACAAAGTTGTTTACGGTTTAAAATATACGGGCAATTAAAACTGTAATTGTACAATTTGTACTACCCTACCCTTAGTTTTTGCACCTTCATTTTGAAGTTTTGAGGTACGGCCCGAGCTGGCCCGAACTAACGAAGGACCAGCCAGACACGTAAATAATACGGAGTGCTTCTTAGAAATCAAAATTAGTGTTTGTTTCGCACTAAAAAATAATAATAGGAGCATGCTACATGTACCCCAAAATTTGAATCTTATTTGTCCATCAAAGATATACACCAACATTTTTATGGTTAAACTGACACAAAGTGTTAGTGCGTTAACAAAAATTTACACTGACATAAAGTTTTGATTTGTTAACAAAAATTAGCATTACACCAACACAAAATGTTGGTGCATCCATGCGGTATACAAAATGGGGTACAAATCTTTGGGGTACAAATAGCTTTATCTATAATAATAATACCCGCAGCAAAACTCTATTTTAGTATTTTGGAGCATGCTATATGTGCCCCAAAATTTGTATTCTATTTGTACACGAAAGATATGCACCAACATTTTGATAGTTCACACTAACACAAAGTTTTGGTGTGTTAACAAAAATTAGCATTACACCAACACAAAATGTTGGTGCACATCTACGGTATACAAAATGGGATACAAATAGTTTTACCTTAGTGTTTTTTACAGAGACTCCCTTAAGCTGATGGGTCATGGGTGTGACATCGCGTTTGGCATCCAAGGTGGATGCTGACCCCGACAGAGAACATCCCCCCATCCTTAAGACTCGGCGTCGTGGGGATGAGAACATCGAACGTCCCGATCTCTTTTACTCTTCTCCTCTCTTCTTTTACTCAGAGCACGTTTGGGAATAACGTTAGTGATTAGCGTTAGCGTTTTGAAAAGGCTATCTACGAGCAGCGTTTAGCGTTAGCGTTTTTGAAGTAATTTGCACTGTTAAAAATTTATCCAAAATGCTAATGTTAATCTCTAATGTCATTCTCAAACAGGTCCTCCCCCATCTCTTGTTAGTGTTACACGCCAACCTTCTCTTTTCGGCATGGTGATGTGCATGGACGTGGCAGTCGGGATTCGCCATGCCACCCAATGGCTACATTAGTGTTTATTCTTTAAACAATTACAATACCTTTTTTTATAACACACAATTATAATACTTCGGGTCGGTTTATTTAGATTGAAAAAGTTAACTTCTAACATTTATCAATATCTTTTAGTTTTTTCCAACTCGATCCAGTTCCTTTAAATTTTTTCTAGTTTATTCCAACAATGACCTAAAAAAATATTTACATATAATATGATGAATATAGAATAACAACATCTATCCAATTTTGTAACATATCACCTCAAACATGAACAAAGATGAATTCTCTTTTGAAATATTTACACTAAATAGCACTAAAACTTAAGTCATTTATCTAAATAGCTCTTAAATTGTTTTATTCCTTAAATAGCACTTAATAATGTCCATAATGACCAGTAATGGCGAAAATTTACTTGAATAATGACTAATGGATAATGATTGAAAGTGCTACATTGGGAAAAAAACACATGTAGTGCTATTTAGGGAAAGTCATTATGTTTTAGTGCTATTTAGGTAAATTTCTCTTCTTTTTTATCCAAAGTAATTAAGTTTCCTACATATTCATTTGGATAATTATTTAATTGAGTGATTTTTTAACACTTTAGTTTTTCTAATAATTTTCAACTCTTTCCAGTTTCTTCCAACTTCTTCCTGCTTTTTTCAACATCCAACACTCTTTTCACAATCCAAACGAACAGAGCCTTAATGGCTCTTTAAAAAATACTCCGGTATAGTTTAGGGTAATTGTTAACGAGGTTAAAATTGAAAGATGTAAAAATTTTACTCTATTACTAATACTTTACCGCGTGCCGGAGTTAAACGACATTTTGTTTGATCCTGTAACTTTTCTTCAACTTTTTTAAACTTCTATTCTTTTGGATTCTAACTCTTAAATCTCGTTGAGAGGAAAATACATTTCCATAAATTTTCATTTGTACTTCTCTATGTTTTGTTGCATAAGTGGTAAAAAAATTATACTTCAGAAAAAAAATCAAAGAGGAGATAATGACTTTTAGTTGTTTGGAATGGAAGTTCATTTTCATAGCTACTCAATCCTCGAGTAGAGTGAGCAAGTACTGAACCGATACAAAAAATTCTTGAAAAAATTGAGAAAACTGAACCGAAAAGATACTGCAAAAATACCAAACCATACTGAACTGAATGTTTGGTTCGGCATTTGGGAATAGAACAGTACGAGGTAACTTCTCATACCGAAAATCTCGAACCGAATATATATATATATATATACACACACACACTAGTATATTATAAATATAATAATCATTTTATATTTTTCATTGAATAATAAGTTAGAATTTGGCTCAAATTTTATTATGTGTACATTGTACTTTTATTTGAGTTTTAATTTTTTTGTAGAAGAATATAAAAATAGTAAT